TCAAAAGAAGTTACTATACAGTTTTAAGAGTATTTTCGTTTAAGAAAATAAAAATTTTAATGACAGTACCGCTTTAATGATATTCTGTTATTGACGTTCCTCTAACTTAAATGGTCTGTACCAATGCAGGTATAGTGCCGATAATTACAAAGCTTTGGTTGATAAAGATGCAACTATCTGAAAAATACCAAAAGAACTTCACTAGAAACGTCGAAGTTCTCTTTGAATTTTTCAGGTAGTTCAAACCAAGAACATACAAAGGTTTCAACCCTCCAAATGGAAAGATACTACTCGGTAAGTTTCCACTAAACTATCTTGGAATATCATAAATTCTACCCAATCTTTCATTGGCAAATATTATTAAAATCTATTATTTTAAATAAAATATTTACCGTAATAATGTTACAACTGTCTAGATCAGTGTTTTACTAATTATTTTTCAAAAGCACACGAATTTTATACAGAATATTAAAACATGTTTAAATAAAAAGCAACCAGATAGCCTCCAATGTGCTAATAGACAAATAGATCCTAGACTAATAACCTAATCTGCTATTATTATTATGATAACAGTTTATGATCAGTCCTAACTGTGATTATGATCCTCTTACTAATTATTTTTCAAAAGCACACGAATTTTATACAGAATATTAAAACATGCTTAAAAGCAACCAGATAGCTTCCAAGGTGCTAATAGATAAATAGATCCTAGACGAACAACCTAATCTGCTATCATTATTATGATAACAGTTTATGATCCTCTTACTGTGATTATGATCCCCTTATTATGCCTCCTACCCCTACTGTGCACAACAATGATAACCGTTGCTACCCAATTCACTCACACCTATGTAATATAAATTAATTGGTTATCTTTGTTCCATTCTATACTTACACTATTAAAACAATTAGTTTAGTAACTGCAGGGGGCATGTGAGCTATGAAATTTTATCCGTTTTTAGCAGACCTTTCCATTTCTTATTTCCTATTCCTTTTTCCATTTTTTTAACCATTGATGATTACACATACCCAATACTGTCCCATGAATTATCAACTATAGTGTCATTCTTCACCAGACTATTAGCCCCATCCCTCCCTGCTTTAGTACCAGTGTTGTTAGTTGTCCCTGATCCTTTTGTTGTTTCCGTAGGGACGATCTCATCAAGCAAGGAACTTCGTTCTGCTTGTTCTTTCTTCTTCAATTCCTGTGGCGGATCTTGCGACACATCCAGATGAGCTTCCTTTGCCGATTGCGTGGAAACCAAGATGTGCCGACGAATGGTCGAGGATGACGTCACGTCACGACGAATTTTCCAAATCAAGATACGACGACGTAACTCGTTTCGAACCTGGAACCAAAATGGCTTTTTTTAAATCTTAATATCAGTATGCGACAGCATGGTTGACACTCCAACTTGTTGAGAAATTGTTGAGTTGCAGGAGGATAACAAGTTGTTGAAACAACTTAAAACAAGTCTGTTGACCTCAAAAACCTTGTACCAAGTTGTCAACAAGCCGTTGACAACTCGTTAACAAGCTCGGAGCAAGCAGTGCGAACACATCCTGTTGACATGTTGTTGTTGGAACAGCATTGCTACAAGTCTGCTGCAGGTTTGTTGCAACTTGTGCGTTTTTACGTGTGTACAAGGAAAAGACTTTCGGCGATATAGAAGCAAGTGTCAATTGGATTCGAGAATCAAATAACTTACCTCATTATTTACCAAGCAGTACAGGACAAATATTAAAGCACCCTAAATATTAGAAGAATAACCATTTAAAAAAGAAACAGTAAACCATATTGACATATTTCCACAAATTCATCAATTTACCTGTATGGAGTTGGTAATGGCAAATATATACTGAAACACAACTGATGATTCGTTAAACGCCATAACACCAAACACCCAGGTTATTCCCAAGATTGGAATGACGGCACCAAACGTCTTTGAAGCGGATCTGGAATATAATAAATCCTCATTATTTTTAATTGGCATTTTCTTCAAGAAATTTTGAACAAATACTGCAATTATCCACTCTAAAAACACTCTGGTTAAAAATCTGGTGAATCTAAAATTAATCAGGAGTAACTTAACGTCGTAACTTCCTGGTTAATTTAACCACAAACCTGGTTAACGTGATCTCATCATAGTTCTGACTGATTTAACCAGGCTCCTAATTTAACCAGCCCCTGGCTTCCTGCTCTATTAATTTGTTATAATGATTCCGTGAAACCAGTTCCCAATTTTTTTCATGTAAATATACATAATTATTTTATATTCAACTGTAAATTTTAATTTGGGAAGAATTTTAAATGAATGATTTTTGAGGCTATATGGTTGAATTAAGCAGATTATGCTAGGTGGATTATTAACTAGGAATTCCTGGTTAATTCGACCATTTAGAGTGCACCCTATAGACGCTCAGAGTTGGAACGCACATGACGATGAATATTACCACTGTACGATCAATATATCATGCAGCACCTCTACTGTAATGCAATACAAAAGTTCAAGTGACAAGGTAAAACTGAAGAATGAAACAAATCGTTACTTACTTCAAGCCACCGTACTCTGTTTTATCTGAAAATGTTGACCAGGTTGTTTTAATGACAGCCAAAAGAATTATACAGTTGATCTAATAACAGAAGTAATAATATTGAATTGAAGAAGAAATACGATGGATTTCAAAAGGTTTCAAAATTTGCATCTTTCCCGAAGGGTGTATAAAGACCATGCATATTACATTTATCGTGTGATATGCTGGTGAGCATCTTTCTATGGAACCATGCGCAATATAAATTTGAGTAATAATAATAATAATAATAATAATAATAATAATAATAATAACTTACCAAAATGATAATCAGTCCTGGGCCAACAAACGCCCAAATGGCTCCGGTCTCTACTGATAGCCAACAACTACAAACGAAAATAGAATTAATTTTCCCTGTTGATTCGCGCAATGAAATAAAAATAAAAGACAATCTCTACTTACTGATATTTTGAGATAACGTCGTCTCTTAGGAGAGCCCAAGTTATGATAGCGATTAGCAGAGGACAACCTAAAAAGGACAGTTGCTTAAGACTAGGAATTTATGCATAACAGTTAAAAAATAAATAAACTGAAGAAAGTTAGATCAAACGAGGGTGAGAGTTGATGAGAGTATAGCCAGTCACGCATTATTAGGAGGGACATTTCAAGCTCTAGCTAAATTAACAAAATAAAGGTTTGATGAGCGTTTCGACTAACTTTTAACTTAAATAGAATACATGGATTACATGATAGTGTTGATTCAAGCATTAAGAACAGCTAACTCTCGTGCACTCAACTTCTGCCAGCTCAAGCACTCTCGTCTTAAATTGGTCGACCATAAACACCTGACAACGTACATTTGTGAAGCAGGCTACAATTCAAATAACACTCAGAACTAACTAGGTTTACTTACCCCACCCTACAAGGTAGGCCAAGCGTCGTCTCCTAGCAACATTACCACGAAAGACTTTGATGACCATCAAGTAAATATAAACCCCTTCTACCAACATCCAGAAAAACACACAAAGGTACAAATAAAATGCCAGCATCGCCACCACTAGACATGAGTCCTAATTGAAAATAATTAAAAGTTCCCGTCAAACATAAACAATCCTACAGCAAATTCTTCCTCAAATGTAACGATCCGGTGGAGGGAAAATAGGATATTTTCCTGCGTAACAAATTATCATTTCAATTTCTTCACTAATAATCTTCGTACGTTTTCAAACAAACAAACAAAGAAGCTTGCTCAATTTAAAGACTTTAAACTAAATCCATTTCAGGACAGAAGTATACATCCCTTGAAATACTCCCTAAAAGATTGATTACAAGCTATGATAGATAGAAATCGCAGTACAAACGTTACCTTAACAGGTTCAAAAGTAATTGTTGCTAAGAAAATTAAATCAGCACCACCAAGTGCTAGAACTAGGTTCATGTGAATACTTGCTCGTTCAGATTTGATATTTCTGCAAATAATCAATAAAAGAAATACAAATCAATAAGAAACTATATACTGTATATATTAAGCAAAACAGTACGTAACTAGTAGTACAACTAGTCAAAATTAGTCGTATACTTACTGTAAAGTGAGATAAATTATGAAAGTGAGAAGACATCCCAAAATAGACAAGCTTAAACCAATGTAAGTAATGATAACCAGACGATATGTATCTTCTTCTGAAAGATGCTGGAAATAAATAAATTACATTCCCTGAAAATCTACAAACGTTTCAGCATTGTTTATAGTAGCTCTATCAGTTCTAAACTAGTTAAACTGTTCTGGCATTATCAATTCTAAACTATTCTTCCCAGAGGTCCAATAAGAGTTACTTCCCCAATTCTCTTATTGATCCAGTGTTACTACAGGAGGAAACCTAAACTAAACTAACTCTATTTATACTGGATAGCTCTATTGGTTCTTCTCCTTAGGGGGTAACGGTCATATCGTTCCCGTTTTATTAGAGGAAGAAACCTTAACTAAACGAATTCAATTTATACTGGATAGCTTATAATGATCAGTTTCGAAACAGTTCTGAATATAGAGGTCCAGTTACGATCATATCTGATTCTTCCGCTGTAGGAAGAAACTCGAATGCCACCGAGCGATGGTGTTTGGTACAATCAAACTGGAAACGTGCATTCTTCTCACACGAGACTAAATTATAATCCAACAACTACCGATATTGCAGCAATAAAGGCCCGATTTCAAACTGATGTCACAGAATAGAGACTTTTCAGAAGCCCGCGACTTCTTAATTTTCCAGGGTTTTTCTTCTGATTTTGGCGCATTAACCGTAATTCGTCATCAAAATGCTGACGCGATGGTCTTAGCCAGTGCGCTTATGGGAGGCATTCACTCCCTGATAATAACCAAAATGGCGGACGTCCAGAGTCTCACAAGCGCACTGGCCAGGACCATGGCGTCAGCATTTGATGACGAATCATGGCGTGGCAGCGGTTGCGCTTCCTTGACTGAGTTAACCTTCTGTGTGTCTTTATTCTGTGCCGATATGGAAGAAGCTAAAAAAGAACCACTGTGTCACCAGTATGACAGAAGAAACAAAGTTTCAAACCTGGTCATCGGTGATTTTAAACAAAACAGCAAAGTTCGTGAAATGGTAGCATGCACATTTGATGTGACTTTGATTTTCAAATGTTCTAAAACATTGTCTCGTCGACCATCTACCATGTTCACCAGAACGCCTGGAAAAAGCAAAAACATTTATGTCAGAAAATATTTTTTCTCTCTATTGTATTTTTTGAATCACAATGTTGTAAAGCAACCTTGGTCTTGTGAAGCATTTGGGCATTGGATGATTTAGCATGAATATATAAGAAATTCGCTAAAAAATCCATTGAACACCAAAGATTATTCGGCCTTATTCCTTGTAGTGATATGACTTGCACTATAAAAATATTTATCCACACTTACGCGCTATTTTCTATCCAAAATGAACATTCACTGCCAAATCCTTTTCCACCCTAAAATGATTAAAGGTTCACTCAGTTAGTCTTAAATCCCAATGTTAAACAAGGATGCAATTTGACGAGGATGGACGACAGTTGCAACTCTCCCGAGGCGTATGATACCAAATACAACAAAGTCAGGAGCAAAGGCTGTCATCGACTGAAAGACAGATTCCTTCAGTTACTCGTAAGATACTCGCTGTAATTTTGCGTCGACCGTGTAAAAACAACAGAAATGATAATATAAACTTACAACATTTTTCTCAAAAGTCATTTCGACAGGTTCGTCCAAATCATCGCTTGGTGATGGTGACACAATGGCATTTATAACTTTTGTTCCCATCTTTAAGTCTCCAGTATTGTTCCTCATTTCACGATACGCTTTGAAGATTATACCAACAAAATATGCTTTGTCTGGGGATAAGAAATAAGAAATACCCATAAATAACATTGGATAACTACAGAGGTGTCTTGGACGGGATCGGAATTCAAAGGGTTTATCCCCCTTTGTTAAAATGTTTCACTGTTTTAGGGGGCTCTGCTTCGTCCTTGTTTAAATTCTTAGGAGGTGTCTATAGTCCTGTGAAACCGTGTTTATCAATTATATGGTGCCTGATAATAACCTAATTCTATGGAGAATCAGTTATATAACCTCACTCTTTTATGATTCAAGAATCCTCACGTACAACCTTCTAAAACACTAAAGTTTGAAAACATTTTACTCTTTTGGGATATTAACAATATTCGGTTTCATTTTGTATCTTGGAGGTAAACAATACCTACCTGAATTATTTGCTTTAAAAACTGAACTTGGGATGACAATTTTTTCATCGCCAGTTATTTTCTCTTCTTTTGAAGGAAACGAAAATTTCTGAGAGGATGTGGTATTGATAACTGCCACTCCAAAAACTAAAATTAAATTTCAAAATAGGATTTAATTTCATTGTCGATTTAAGACAACAATCGATTATCGTCTGCAGTTCATTTCATAACCTACCTAGGTCTTTATTGACTTCCTGGAAAGTGACAGAGCTCTCATTTCCAAGATCCAGTTGTTGAGATATGGAATTTCCAAGATCTTGTAACACTTCAACTGCTTGCATACCTGGATCCTAAGAGTTGCGGAAACTGATTTTAGTATATTTCCTTCGCAAATACGTAAATGTATACTTTATGTAATATTTCAAATCCGAGTATGAGGACTGGACTAGATTTCAAGTCTGTGCAATTTGATCAAGTCCGAGGCAAAGTCGAGGACTGGATCAAAATGCGAGGACTTGAAATCTAGTCCAGTCCAAATTGGAGGATTTGAAATGACATCTCGTGCGAATAAATCACTACTCAAAGTGAGGTGAATTAATTTTGATCCAGTCCAAGGACTTAATTAATTTCGATCCAGTAGGACTGGATCAATATGCTTCACCAGGTATTCAGTATTATCATGTGAGCAAAATAAAGCAATATGGTTGACTAATTTGCTCATGAATTAGTATTAACGAGTTTGAGATGTACACTTCTTTACATACGGCATATGTACTGATGAACTATGAAAGCGTTCACCAGTTGTTGTAGTCATTGCCTGTAAACACAAACCGTTCGACGGAAGGATTCAACTACCAGAAAAATACATGGTAAAATCTTTACCAACTTCCAGACGAACAGCCTTCGGTTGAAACGTCGACATTTTGCTTGTCAGTATTTTGGTGTAAATCTACACTGCAAACGATTCGCGAAAACTTTTACTTTTCAAGATCATCAATAAACTTACTTGTTTTTGGTCGCCAAGAGTCTGATTGGTCGTAATCAAATTTGTGGCCGCATCTAACACTCGCTGAATGAAGAAAAAGCAGAAATTAGTTGATTAGCAATTATTTCTAGCATGAACGGTGCAATTTCTTTACAAACTATGAATGTCACTTACCTCAATAGTTTCTTTGTCGTTGATATCAACATCTGAACTATTAAAATTGCTGATAAACTGAACATCTGCCAAAAATACAAAAACATTTTATTACAAAAATATTTCCTACCGGAGTGATTTTTATAACTATTTATCATAGGATAGCTCTATAAGTCCAGATAAGAATCATCTCTCGTTGAACCAATGTACCAACTTTATTAATACTAGATAGCTCTATCAGTTCTAAACTGTTCTTCCTAGAGGTCCAGTAAGGATCATCTCTTATTGATCGAGTGTTATTCATGTCTAACAAAAGGTATTGGAGGAGGAAACCTAAACTATCCTACACTCGGGAGAAGAGCAAGGTTTTAACTTAAAATATTGGTCTCAGTGAAAAGCTAAAAAAATGAGATTTTTGCAGGAGCTGTTGGACAACATAAACTTCAATTCTTACCTTCCTCTAATTTCTTTAGCATTTCTTCCATAGGTGACAATGTGCTTGTTGGTGAAATATTAGGCGTCGTTGTTGAAGCCTGGATCACTACCTTGGTAATCTTTGATATTTCATCTTCATTTGACGAGGTCATAAACGTGAATTGCAGGCTGCTAGTAGCAAGAACTGGAGTGTGATGAACGAGTTGAGTTGTCTCTTGGACTGATGTCCGGGGAATCAGAGTGTTAGGAATGGAATAAAGTGATGTTCGAATGACTGGAGTAGGAACTGGATTATTGGTCTGAATCACTGGAGTACTTGTTAGGGCTTGAATAATTGGAACCGTTGCGTTGAATGGGAACACGTTTGAACTAGAATCAGAGAAAGTACATAAACCGTTGAACTTTAAACGGAAGAAAATACTTGAATTCAAGCAACTTTGAGAAAGAAAACAAGCAAAAATAAGTAAAAACAATGAGTGACCGAATGGAATGGGAAATACTGGGTTTTTCTAAACAATGACAATGGAAAATTCCGTTACTGGACCGCCACTATTGTTAAATGATATATGCCAAAGTAGATGATATAGGCCTTTAATCGCTGTTTTGGCGGAAACCAAGCTGCTTGTCTGATCAGAGACGCTAACCAAAAGAAGGGGTAGGAAACTACTAATGAGCATGAATATTAAATATGGACGAAACTTTTTTGAATAAATGATTGCATTTTGTGTGAAGAGGCTAGGATTGGAAAGGTACCCATGGAGCTATCGTTAGTAATTTGCAAGGATAACATGCATGTACACGTCGCTTTCCCAAGAAATTAGCCTCTGATGAAAAATATCAATACATATACTGACCTTGGTACTGGAGGTAATTTTATAGTAGAATTCGTCTGTGATTTGCGACGAATTATGGACTTGCTCGGTGTTATATATGATGTTGATGGCACGTTGACAGTCGGGTCGTTTGGCTCAGGTCGTATAATGGAAATTTGCCGTCTCTGCTGAAAGTTATCGTCAGTAACTGGAAAAAAGCGCAGATCAACATCGCAGATTTTTTTATATCCACTGCTAAAGTTATTGGTTGACGCATAGACGATAATATCCAATGACGAAAGTTCCTCTTGGCACTGAAATATGTACCGCATATTTGCTTCCTTCACTTGGTCGCAAGCACATAACGACTCGTTCGAATAACGGACCTCGATAATTATAGCGGGTGCGGTGCATAGGATTGACAATCTTTCTAGACGTTTATAAGATCCTTTTACAACGAGTGGCGCTGCCTTAAACTTTCGCTGGTTTTTACATTTGTAACTTCCGGTCGTGTTGGAACTGATTGCTGAAAGAAAAAAACAATGCATTGGCGAAGCTGGCCATGGCAACTGGTCATGCTATATGCAAATGAACATACACATGAATACAGCCAAACAAAAGATACAATAAAAACCATAGATATCTTATATACACTAGATAGCGCATCTCTTTTAGTAAAACTGAAGCCAAGAATATTCCAGCGGTTACCTCCTTTTGAATAGATGACGGCCATGTTGGTCGTTCCCACTCGCTAATAAACACTTAAAAACAACAATAACTTTCATCATTTTAATACTTTAAAAATGTATTCGGAATAGGGTTAACTTAATATTTAAGTCACCTGTTTAAGAAATAGGAAATATACGAATCTTCTCATTTCATGGGAACGACCTGAGACTGCAATCACGGCTTCAATTTTTGAATTGCAGAATAATTAGATGCACTATCTAGTGTATATAAGATATCTATGATAAAAACCCGCAAAAAAAGAACCAATTCCCAGCTAGTGATTTACTTATAAGTATCGGCCGGTCTAGTATGTAACAGAAGGCGTATAACAGAAAATGACAGATATTTCATATAGACTTTAAACGTCGTAGCTACTTCGTGAAGATATTTCTAAAGACAGAATATTGTGTTTTGAAAGTCAACACGTAGGTGAAACACATGCTCTGGGTTATTCTTTTAAATTTACACTTGATCATAAGACTGAGATTTGGTAAAAAAAAAACTCGCGTGTAATAGTAGAACAATTGGACCTCGAGACGGAAAGGGCAGGATTAAAGCAGTCTTCCAAGACATTTTTAGACAATCAAAAGTTGTTTGGTAGCTTTCGTAGAAGTTATTTAAACTCTAAAATGTTCGCTACTAAACTGTCTTTAAAATGGTACATGCATGGTTTTCCCATTCCTATTTTTGTGTCTTTCATTCTCAGTAATCCAAATCCCATTCTTCCATTCCAAAACTAGGCAAATCTCATGCAGTTTCCATTTTACTCCTCAGGATCCTCTAATCTAGTCAGTCATATATATAAGCATGTATCATAAAAACACTGGATATGAAACTCGTGATCACGCATGATATTTCCAGCGTGATGATGGAGTCTCAACCTTGTTGAAAATTCTGACATCATGCACATGAACTCCGAAATAACTCCACGAGTTTAGCAATAATACAGCTGAGCATTCTAGTAAAAAAACACGTGAGAAACAACCATGCCACTCTACGATGGATTATCCGTTGGTTATCTATATAGTTTTGAGTTATCTCAAGTTTAGTGCAAATGTAATTTGTCCAACGTACAAGAAGGAAACAGAGGGTGGACGCACTTTTTCAGTGACTTGTACAAGACTATTTTTAAGACTATATATGTTGACTATTTTTAGCCAATTAAAATATGTGGAGTCAGTACAATTTTCAAGGAACAGAAATCTAAATATGTGGAGTCAGTACGATTTTCAAGGAACAGAAATCTTTGCAGCATTTCATTGTAGCTATAGTTAGTTCATAATTTGGAGTACACATATTAGTTTTTCTATTTTAACTTTTATCATATATTGTAAATAATCAGAGATTCAATGCTATATATATATATATATATATATATATATATATATATATATATAAAAGATATATATATATATATAAAAAATATATATATATATATATAGATTTGGTTTCGTTGGTTATAAAAACTTTTGGTAAAGTGGTCAATGGAAAACCAGAGCATACTTAAATTAAGGTACAACAATCAACAACATCCACTATATATAAAGATGCCTATAGTGGATTTTATATATCTTTTATATGTGGATTATATATATATATATATATATAACAATTAAAATAACAATGTTTTTTCGCTACTCTGAGTTTCACGATCTTGTCTGATCGATCTTCAGACGATTTATGTCCGTTTAATTAGTTTGTTTGATTTCGTGATTTTCGTTGACGCACGCGCTTGCGATGAAAACTTCCAGCTCGGAACCGATCTTTGTGGAGACATTTTCCGAAGATTTCTGAGTTTATTTCTGATCGTTTATTAAGTAACGTTTTCTGGTCTGCTTTCATAATGGATAGTTTCTCCTCGTTACACAAATTACATCGCGTGCTACCGGACGCGTAGGGTGTTGAATGTTTCAGAATAGACCAATTGATGGCAAAAGCCTTCCCTTTAAATTTAAGTTCCCATATATACTTCGACAGTTCAGTTTCTTTCTCATACCGAATAAGATTAAAAGATTTCTTATGGTTGCGGTATCTTTCTTTAAATGAATTTGCTGTCATGCCTATATATATTCCTTCTTCAAACCGTCATCCAGGGATGTTACAACTGCTTTGTATACGATACTCTCAGCTTGCAGGCATTTGTTATCCAGGGGACATTCATCCTGATTTATACACTTACATGGTGTTTCAGGATTTGTAGCTTCGCTTCTTCCTAAGATTTTCCGATTGTGCCGTGAAATAACATTCTTAACATTTGGCATGCAACTGTAACTAACTTTGATCGTGTTTCTGTTGAATATTTTGTGAAGTGGATTTGTGGGAGGAAAATGTTTGTCAATAAGTTGCAGAAATCTTCCTCCAACGTTTGTCTTAACTGATTTATTGTATGGAGGATTGAACCATATAACGTTTCTATGTCTCTTTCGTTTCGGTGTTGCAGATGCGTTTAGATCTGGGGGGTTATAGTGTAAGGTTTCCTTAAAGTTGCTTTGCTTCAAGGCTTCTTCGTAAAAAGGTTTTGACTGGTCATAAATCGCCTGAAGATCGATCAGACAAGATTGTGAAACTCAGAGTAGCGAAAAAACATTGTTATTTTAAGATATTTGTAACGCTAATTACATAGCTCTACTGTACTGTTTATAGTATTGAGCACTCTTTTTAGTCTTTCAACGAAAAACAACCCGTTTATATATATATATATATATATATATATATATATATATATATATATATATATATATATATATATATATATATATATATATATATATAGTTTTTTGCTTTACCTCAAAAAACCACAACAGTCTGTTTCATCCGTATATAGGAATCATCAGGTGGTGAATATGCACCCGGTAATCGGTTGTGCACTCTTGTCTACGTTATTCATTTTATTTCTGTGTTTCGTAAACCAAAATCTTAAGCTATATATATATACCGGGTGGCGCAAAAAAAAGTATAACTGTTTGATTACATATAGCTCAAAGACCATAAGCAGTAGAACCCAAAATCGAGTTTCATTGCATCCAGCGATGTCTAACTTAAATTTTGGTATATTCGACAGGCATTTTCGTCCAAGATTGACTGAGATATGAGTGTTTAAACTTTTGTTAGCAAATTTGAAACAGTCACAAATTAGCTAAAAACGGCCTATTAAACTGATTTTTAGCTAATTTGTGACCGTTTCAAAATTGTTAACAAAAGTTTAAACTCTTATATCTCAGTTAATCTTGGACGAATATGCCTGTCAAATATACCAAAATTTAAGTTAGATATCGCTGGATGCAATTAAACTCGATTTATGGTTCTACTGCTTATTGTTTCTGAGTTACAAGTAATCAAACAGTTGTACTTTTTTTTGCGCCACCCGGTATATATATATATATATATATATATATATATATATATATATATATATATATATATATATATATATATATATATATATATATATATATATAATTAATATTAATATAATTCAGTATACAATAAAGTGGTCCATTATGAAGAAAGTCAAAGCATACTAACCAGGATCTAAACGGTGTAATTTATGCCTCGAGGAGAACTGAACTACTTATTATGAAAGCGAAGAAAACTGAATGCCTGAACAAACGCTCTGACTCGTTTTCCAAATGTAGACATGTAACCAGATACCTGCTTAATCAAGTCGTAAAATGATAACCTATATTTATTATGAATATTGAATAATATCTGTCAGTTGCCTGATGATCGCGTGAAGCGTGAAACTCAGAGTAGCGACGCAAACATTCAAACCTTGACTGAATTAATTCCGCTCTACTTATTATGGGATTGAGCGCTCTTCTACCTTACGTCAACTCATCGACTATTTTTATATATATATATATATATATATATATATATATATATATATATATATATATATATATATATATATATATATATATATATATATATAATATATATATATATATATCCTCGTGGAATAAAGTCTCTATCTATCTATATCTATTTATAGAGCGCGTGTTATGTAACATACAAAATGAATTCTCTCGAAAACGTTAAACATTTGCGTGGCATTGTCCATTTTGCTATGTCTAGCATCGCGACCGGAAAACAGATTTTATAAACAATACTGAGAAATTGGCTTTGGTAGATCGTGTATGTCAACTGTGTGAGATTTTCATGGGTCATTACCACCAGCAATATCAATTGTTTGAAAGTACGCCATGTAAATTAAATAATCGTGCTTTAAATAGAGATGATGATAGACGTCTGCTATACCATACGAGTGTCTGCCTTGTTGGCAGGTGACATCATAGCCTATAGCATAAGCCAATTCATGAGAGAAACGCGCTCTAACTGCATGGCGAGCAATATTGTAGCAAACTGGGAACAAGCGAAACTTTAGCACTTCTGTGATCTGCCTCTCTGTGTCTGAGGAAAAGAAACATCGAGCTCGCCTATGCGATATGTAGAGGACTTTGATTGATACTACCAGTTGAATTTGAAATTGAATTTGAAAGCCTGGCCGGTTTTTAACATATCGCAATTCATCAACGATGTTTTCATGGACCTCATGCATGGTCCATTGTCGATGATCAATCAAGAAGAAAATCCTATTAGCGATATACAAATAATTTTCTACATCAATTACCATTGGCATTGGAGCTAGTCAAAGCGATATATGAAAACCAGGCTTATATACGCCAAGCTATCCACTCATATTAACAAATACAATTGTAAATACGGATTCCAAGAGCTCTGCCAAAATTGCCAGCCTTTCCGTAAGGGTATTATAAATATAAACCGTCCCTCCCCTTCAACTTGTCTTTACATTCTTTCGTAAACTGATGTTTACACAGCAAAGACAATGTGTTGTATTTGGCGATGTCAAGCTCCCTAGTCCTAGATCATATTACAATGTTCCGTTTCAGTCTTGAAGTAGCCAGATTTTATATACGCAGACAAATTCATGCGAAGTATCTTATCTTATCTTTGCTCAATTTCATCTAGACGGTTCATTCGTCTCTCGCATACTGTGTAGACCCAGCCATTAACATCGAATTATAAACAAGGCAATTTAATATACATTAAAATACATCTCATGTCTACACTACAGATACGTACAACACTCAAGAAGCTTGTACATAATATAATATCAATAATATTATTGTAAACTGTCATCGGCACTTTGAATTACTATTGAACCGACTAGGTGAATCGACAACAGACATGCCATGTCGTGTATCATAGCATCGCCTTAAATCGCACTGACTTTCGGCTAATTTAATTTGCAACAAATGGTGCTAAACTATGCACTTACCTGTGCCAAATAGCATTAAAGTATTCACCACAAATAAACCACATATAAATAGTTTCAAATCCATCTTCTCCCTTTTCACCAAATAGGCAATATATATACTTGAAAAGACAACCTTCTTGAATGTATTACAAACAATCCAATATCTAACACGTTGCAAGTGAGAATGCTCCGCCAACTTTGACTAAAATTACACCACCATCGCTGTGAAGATATTCCAGAACACTTAAACTAGTTTTCGAATATATTCTGCATTTCTACTTCAGAAAATTCTGGAATGTCTCGCTACACCATACAGTGTGTCTCGGCGATAAACCATTTGTTAATATTCATACGCGTCCCGTCACATGCCAAGTGTTTTACGTACTAGTATTATTATATGCAAATTTCTTTTGAAATTATTTAACAGGAAACTCGCGGTGTCTGAAACATAAATAACCGAGTCCACACCTTTGGAACACAACTATGAATACAACACGCAACCTAACACGCAATCCAGCTGTCACGTTTAACACAATGACAAGTTTATATTACGCAAAATTTTATCAACCCTAAGCACATGTGAATAATTAATAAATCAATTTTATTATTGCAATCGCAACAAAAATTCCGTGGACACAAGCAAAAGTATTGCTATTCATGTACACATATTGGCATCTTCGTATTCCCCGCTGACTTTGTATCAAAGCTTTCAACCTAACCAATTTTCAACATAGGGGGAAGTTGAAAATTGCTATTTTGCAAGGATATCATTGGGCATCACAAGAATTTTTGCCCTAGCTCCCAGGAAACGTGCTCAAAGTTGTCCAAGCCTCCGAAAAATTGTCGCAAACCTGTTGCAAAATTGTTGCAAGATTGTTCCGACGAGCGGATATTAAGTCGATGAAGGATATATTATCCTTAAGGCGTAAAAAATATTATGTTTCCTGTCAATAGGTTTGTCTAGAATTGACGCGACAACCGCGCGGCTTAGTTTTCCTTCCTATTTTCAAGAGTTAAGGAGGAATCTTGTGCAGAAATGGCTGCGTATTTTTCTAGAATTTATTAAAAGTATTTTGTGATTGTTATACTTTGAGTTTCAATATTAAACTGTTACCAAATTTGCAGGTTTATTAATGGAATAAAATGGAGCCACATTAAAAATACATGAAATGTTAAATTAAATGTTAGGTCTTAGGAGAATAATTGTGTAATAATAATTTGGAGAAAAAAAAACGTTGACGCACACATTTAAAAACGATGTATTATTAATTCATCAGAAAGTTTTAAATAAATTTAAATTTTTCTATTAACGCTTTAATTAAAAGCTATATTGACTATCTAAAAATTATGACACTATATCAAATATTTCATTGGCATTGCTATATACCCATAGCCCATTCGCTAATTAATATAATTAAAAACGTCACAGGTATCCATGATGGCAGTTCCTTCAGTTCATCAAGTCTATCCCCAGTAGTTGGTCTTATCGTCCCATAGTAATGGCGAATTTCTACTGTCTATAACAACACTGTTTAACTGTAATAATTTCCTATCACCAGTAAACAATAACAAGGCGCTATCCAGTGTATAGTTCGGTTCAGTGACTGAACCACACGTTTCCCGTTTCAATCCGAGACGCATTGCATAGATTACCCCATCGCATATCTAAAATCGCTACTCTATCTCCATCTCATACCGCAATAATACCCACTCTACTCCCATTCGTCCATCGTCTTTACTATCGCATACCCTTTATAAGGTCTTTACACCTGTCCTACACTATCATCACAGACGTCATTATCCCCGGAGTTTTTGTCCAACTCGACAGGACTGCTTCGTCCATCTTTTCTATCACCCTCCTCTCTATTACCTTCTACCCTATCACCCTCCTTCTCTTTGTGATCCTCTTTGTGATCTTCTTTGTGATCCTCTTTGTAATCTTCTTTGTAATCCTCTTTATGATCCTCTTTGTGATCCTCTTTCTCCTGTACACTTGATTCCGAATCAGTTTTAGGCGTTATATTTGGATCCTCAAACGTGTACATTCGCCCAGGAGGTAACACTTCTTTCATGTCAGATAACGGATAATGGTAAAGGTCTGGGGTTGCCTGTGCCGACGCCGTTGTACGATTGAAGGTCGTGTTTTTCTCCGACGAGACTACGTACGGGTACGTCGTCCGCCGACCGGCCGATGATGACGACATTTCACGACGAGTTTGCCAGACTGTGATCCTTCGACGAAGTTCGTTCCGTACCTAAAATGAGAAAAAGTTTTGAACATATAGTCAATAGAATACGAAGGTTAGGGAACTTGAGAGTTATGAGCCGCCATCAGTCACGACATATCGCCCAGGGGCCGGTTGTATAAAAAAGTGATTAAAGTTAACTATAGTTAGTGGAAACGTCGTGCATCCAATAAGAAGCGCGTATTTGAGAGTTAATCACTATTTAACTACAAAATAGTGATTAAAAAAGTGATTAAGAGTTTTATACAACCGGCCCCTAGGGTACAGTACATTAGAAAACGTAAAAAATGCAGGTGAAGAATCAATGGGAAAATGCAAAATTAATAATGCTAAATAATAGCCTCCATCGACAAAGGTAGCTGATATTTTTATTCCATTCCAAATAAAACAAAAGTTATTCCTAAAAATTATTACATATGTTGGAGATTGTTATTGTCATTGTTATAGACACATAATATTCCAGAATATTCTATAAATATTCAATATAAATATCTCAGTCAAATAATGACAACAGTCAACAGGGGGCCCCACACGAGGCCACACCAAATATGCCTAAGGTACGCAACTGTTTGAGTGGCATTTTGTCGGCACGGACGCTTCGAAAAAATGTCGAATTTGCATCAAATAAAAAAGTTCGACAAACTAACCTCGTTATTAACTATGCAGTAAAGAATAAATATCAGTGCTCCCTAAAAAAAGAAAAGTGTGACAAATTTATATTGTAATCATTAACAAGTATAAGCTCCAAAATGTCGGACAGGCCAATATCAAAATATAACTTCCTGCAAAAGAAGACATACTTAATAATTCTGTGAAGATCCTGACGTCACCACAAAAATAACTACAAAATACATGTACACATACCTGTAAGGAATTAGTAATAGCAAATATATATTGAAAGACTAATGAAGATTCGTTGAACGCCATGACGCCAAACACCCAGGTTATTCCTAAGATTGGAATCACAGCACCAAACGTCTTCGTCGCAGATCTAGTAAAACACATCGAAATTTATTATTTAATATTTTAAAGCTTGCGACTTCAAGGCAACTGTGTATAATATCAGACATATTTCGCTAATCTGACTTTGGTGAGAACAACTTACTTTACTCCCAATGGATGGATGAAGCCACTATCACACGTACAAATCTCACAACTTGTCATCAAGATGCGCTCGCAACAGGCTTGTAGCAAGCTTGTCAACAAGTTGCAACAATGTTGTTATTTTGTAACAAAGTTGCTATGTCACTCACAATTTGTTGACAAATTGTTGAATTGCAGGACGATAGCAAGTTGTTAGAACAACTTGTAACAAGTCTGTTGAGCTCAATAACCTTGTAGCAAGCTGTCAACAAGCCGTTGAAAGCTTGTCAACAGACTGCATGCATGGGAACAAACAGTGCGACAAGTCTTGCGCGTTTTTACGTGTGTATATATATTTAACCACATAGGTTATGGTATAGGAATAAGGATATTACATGAGTGATGATGATAAGAAATTTAAATGGTTTATAACATTGATATAGGACTTTGTTATATAGTAGAGAGTAAGATACTGAAAAATAGACAGTGAGATATTTTCCATATCTTCACTATAGTGAAGATATCGATCACGTGACAATTTGCTTTTGAGCGTGAAATTTCACAATTTTTTGCTTGGGACTATATAACTAGAAGTTACTATCGCAAGGTAAAGTGCTGCCTCGGGCAGGTTACCGGTGAGTTGCTAATTGTGTTAGGAGATTCAACCACTGAACTATTGCAATACATCCAAAAGATGTATAGGCAAATGGTTGGGACTATATAATAAACAGAACATAATTACACTGTGGCTTGAAGATATGACTTTTATCTTCTCGTGTTAAACACAATATTTTACTCACTCGCTGCGTACGTTCGTCCGTAAAATATAATTGTTTTGACCACTCGAAGATAAAAGTCATATCTTTGCGCCGCCTTGTAATATCCTCTATTTAGTGATTTAACGAACATCTTACTTCAAGCCGCCATATTCTTTGTCATCAACAAACGTTGCCCAAGTTGTTCTCATGACAGCAAGAAGAATTATTAAATTGAACTAAAAAATAAACAGGCTAATTTAATGGGAATAAAACTATTTGAGTTAACTTAGTATTAAAATTTAAATTTTCTGGTTATTTATCCGCCAGGCCTACCCATAGCCTATTGAAGGGAAGATGGCTGTGAAATTCATTAGAATAACAATATAACTCATTATCTATGTTAATCAACGTTTATTCATAATCTGGTCCTTTCAGCGTCACGTGTGTATTGCATTTTTACCAAATCCACCAATAGCAATTTCCAGTTTCCCTATTGTTCGAGTCACGGATAGGTGCTGACTTTCCTAAAACATTGCAATTGGTTAGTTGGGCAAAAATACAATACACACGTGACGGTGAAGGACCAGATTTATGAATAAACGTCGAATAAACGTTGACCAACATATAGATAATGAGTTATATTGTTATTCTAATGAGTTTCACAGCCATCTTCCCTTTGATAGGATATGGCCTACCATTAGAATGCTGTTGTTAGGGTTTGTAATCCAAGTGAGTATATATACATTTTAAGACCTGACCAGGAACGACTGTGAAAAGCGCAGCACAAGGTCCTCTGGTAGCTCTGGCTAACCATAGCTCTGGTTAACGCAAGCAGGACGTCCTGGTCAAAGGCATTGAAAAAACCCTACTTACCAAAATAATCACCAATCCAGGACCAACAAAAGCCCAAATGGCTCCGGTTTCGACTGATAACCAACAGCTGCAAAATCATAAATGAAAATGTTATGTCGAATGGATGATTAATTCCAGCTACAGGGGAAATTTTGATCTACACAAGAAGAACGAAATCCTATATACCATAGCTGGAAAGAGCATCTTCAAATGAGTAAAATTGCAAAGTTTGGTTGCGAATTGTTGTAAAATGAGGAAATACATAACCCTGTAAAGTTCGCAAATTTTGCATATATTTGCATTTACGCGCGTGAAAAATAACCATTTTTGAGCCTAAAGTGGATATTTTTACCGCGCGGAATACAAATTTGCGAACTTCACAGGGCTTCACTATATTAATTCTCTTTATTTTACAACATTTAGCAACCAATCTTTGCAGTTTTACTCATTCTAAGACGCTCTTTCTAGCTGTGATGTTGGATTTCGTTCTTCTTATACCTTGATCAAAATTTAGTTCATTCCTGGAATCACCCATTGGAGCCAGTTAGCATGCAAACCCGAAAAGAACCGAAAGATTTGCTAGTACTTACTGAAATTTAGAAACGACATCATTTCTTAAAACAGCCCATGTGACAACTGCAATAATAAGTGGGCAACCTATTGGGAAAATTGATTAATTTCAACATTATTTACATTCACATTAGACTATATCATTCTTATGGTTTGTCGAATGGAACATAAAAATTAACGTCTGGGCACCGGACCTACCTGACCGAAACAATCTAGGGGCGCTTTCCATAAACACGGCCAGACCGGTCAGAACGGTCAAATTCTTGAATGGAACACAAAACATTTGGGCTTCGGACCTATCTGACTGGAAAATTTTGATAACATTAGAATGAGGTCCATTTTCGCTAGATATTTGAGAAACATAGACCAGATCTTTCCATTGATGAGAAAATAATTCGGGTCTAACCGGTCAGGCCATTAAATGGAAAGCGCCCTATAGATAAAATTAGAATGAGGTCCATTTTCGCTAGATATTTGAAAAATATAGACCAGATCTTTCCATTGATACAGAGAAAACATTTTATCCAACGTTGAATCAACGTTGGAAATGACCTTCCAGACGTTGGATAGACGTTGAAAAAGGGTTGACTATGCAAATTGGATCGACGTTACTGTTTCGACGTTGAAGCGACGTTGAAATTAGGTTGCCAATCTCGTCAACCATAATTCAACGTTGAATCCACGTTGAAACAACGTTGTGATTGGTTCACAAATCGACGTCGTACATTTAACCATGAATGAACGTTAATTCAACGTCTGTTGGCTGCTGTTGAACCAATGTTTGTAAAACAACGTCAGAGCAACGTAGATATTAGGTTGTCGACGTCGCAACCTTTTTTCTACCAAATTTCAACGTTGAAACAACGTCGTGTGCCCGGTGTGCTAGCTCGTAGTTAGGACCGTTGCCAGCGAATTCGAATTTTTATGTTCAACCTAACCATGTCAACTTAGCCTGTGGGAGAAAACCCACGACTTTCGGCGCAGAACGTTGACAGACTCTTTTGACATGAGTCCGCTGCGCGAGCCCACGATCTCAAACGTGAAAGGCGTTAGCTTGCAATGCATGGTGTTATTTTTATGATGTATAAAGAGTCAATGAACCCACTCACCCCAACCTACAACGTAGGCAATTTTTTGTCTCCTGGTAGCATTACCACGAAATACTTTGATGACCATCAAGTAAATATAAACACCTTCCACCAACATCCAGAAAAATACACAAAGGTAGAAAAAAAATGCCAACATTGCCACTACTAGACAGGAATCCTGCAATTTAATATGAAAAATGGATAAGAGAAAGTTGCACACACGTAAAAATCTCACAACTTGTCAACAAGATGTGTTCGCAACAGGCTTGTAGCAAGCTTGTCAACAAGTTATAATAATGCTGTTATTTTATCAAGTTGCTACAAGGTTGTCACTCATGACAACTTGTTGACAAACTATTGAATTACAGGACGATATAACAAGTTTTTGAAACAACTTGTAAGAATTCTGTTGAGCTCAAAAACCTTGTAGCAAGTTGTCAACTGCCGTTGACAACTTGTCAACAAGCTGGGAACAAGCAGTGCGAACACATCCTGTTGACAAGTTGTTGGAACAGCATTGCTACAAAGTCTGCTGCAGTTTGTTACAACTCGTGATTTTTTTCGTCTGTTTTGCCACCGTATTTTCCTTTAATTATCACACAGCTTTTTTTAGACCCCTCTCTCCAGTCCAGATGAGCCTAAACGAAATACTCCCCCACAGTTTAGCCCATGAATCCCCAGAATTAAAACATTCTCAATGTCATTACCCCAGTCGGTTTGAAAGCCACTGTCACTAGGAAAATTACGTCAGCGATGCCAAGCGCCAGAACTAAATTTGTATGGATTACTGCTCTGTCCGATTTGATATTTCTAAAAATATTAAATATTAAAATCAACTCAATTAAAATTGGAACAAGAACAAGCAAGATAACCAGATCGACAATCACGATATACATTGCACTTACGATAAAGCGACATAAATTATGAATGTTAGCAGACATCCCAAAATGGACAAGCTTAAACCAACGTAGGTAATGATAGTCAAACTGAACGTATCTTCTTCTGAAAGATCCTGTAAACAAACATACACAGTGGTTAATGAAACTGTTTTTCACGTCAGTGACATACGTTTTCCCTCGTGAAATAAAGTTTCTATTCTATATTCTATTCTATTGTTTGATCTTGCAATATGCAGTTCTCTGATTATAATTTCACCTCAGTCAGTCCATATGAGAAGAGGGCTTCCAGTTTGACTCTATTAAAAACACCGCAGATACAGCAGGACAGAATTCTCCTCGAACTTCAGTTTCCTCCTGCAGTAACTTTAGGTCAATAAATAATGACCGTTATTGGACTTCTACTACAGAAATAATAATTAGGATTGATAGAGCTATCCACTATAAGTAGGTTTAGGTTTCCTCCTGTAGTTGCAGACAATACAGGGATCTGCCTTACTAGACCACTTTAGGGAGAACAGTTTAGAAATGATAGAGCTATCCAGTATAAATAAGCTACTTTGGTTTGAGGTCATCCTGCAGTAACATTGGCCAATATATAAGAGGGAAACCTTACCAGACTTTTATACGAGAAACCTTCAGAACTGACAAAGCTATCCAGTGTAAAAAAGCTAACTTAGTTTAGGTAACACTGGATCAATAGGAGATGATCCTCATTGGACTTCTAGAGAGAACAGGTTAGAACTGACTCATGAGCCATCCAGTATGAACAAAGGTAGTTTAGTTTAGGTTTCCCCCTGTAGTAACACTGGTTCAATAAAAGATGACCATTACTGAACCTCTAGAAAGAAGAGTGTAGAACTGATAGAGCTATCCAGTATAAATAAAGTTAGTTTAGGTTTCCTCCTGTAGTGAACTGGATAAGTCACGCAATTCAGTTTCTACTGCCATGTGATCTTAATTTTTAATCAATCAATCAATCAATCAATCAATCAATCAATCAATCAATCGATCAATCAATCAATCAATCAATCAATCAATTAGGAAAGGTTTCGTCCGATGGAACTTATCCAAAATGAAAAATAGTTAGTTTAATTCAGTTGAGTTGAGTTAATTCATAACACATGTACAACCTAACCAAGACAAGAATGGACAATGCGCAAATAATACAAATAAATAATTTCAAACCTGGTCATTGGAAATTTTAAACAAGACAGCAAAGTTTGTAAAATGATTGCATTCACATTTGATGTGACTTTGATTTTCAAATGTTTTGTAACATTGGTTTGTCGACCATCTACCATATTGGCCAGAATGTCTGGAAAATTAAATGGTATGGTGGTTCATTAATACAATTAATTAGTGTGAAATTTGGTATACAAATTAAAATATTAACGTCGGCGATAAGCCCAAGGCAACTAGATATAATATCAGTCATATTTCGCTACTCTGCTTTAAGTAAATGAATGCATTTTAAAATTTGTGTAGATGTTACGTACGTGCTGTTCTCCAACCAAAATGAACATTCTTGGGCAAACGTTTCACCAACCTTTAAAATAATTCAGAAAATAAATTGAATTCACAAAAAGGTAATGAAGTACTTTACAGATCAAAAATTAAATACGAGATCTGGAATTAATACAATTGAATTTAGAAAACGTGAATTCATAATAATATATACAGCCGATTCAAAAAAGTTGTCCTTTGGAAACCTTAAACTCTAAACCTTAGACCTTAAACTCTATAAGCGCGCAAAGCTTAATTGAAAGCACAAGTTTCAAGCTTAGTAGTTGAATATTGCAGCTATTTGTGAATGAATTGTTCTCGTGGGGAGATATTTACCATGTCTCTAAGAAATGGGCCCCATATACGATTTCTAAACTCATTAAATGATGCTCCCATTATGCTTTGCACGCTTAGAGTTTAAGGTTTAGAGTTTAAAGTTTGCAAAGGACAACTTTTTTGAATCGGCTGCGTTTTGCTTCACGAAATGCTAAAGAGTCCTCCATATCAGATAGATAGAGCAGATAGTGTATCTTTTTACCCCCAAAAGGCTAGGCAGCCGAGAGAATTCGCGGGGCCCGGGAAAAATCTTCTCTGGGGGCCGTATAAATCCTATAACATCATTATTTTTAAGCTAGACCCAAGTCAGTCGCCCAACTATACCTTAGCTAGACTGCATGTGGAGCTACTGTAAGGGGCCCTCAATTTCAAAAATGCTCTGACCAATTTAAAGAACCTACTCAATTTTAGGTTCTCGCTCTCAAGTTGGGGCCCTATTAAGGTGGGGGCCCGAGGCAATCCCCCCCCCCCCCTCTCGGCGGCCCTGCCAAAAGGTTGCCACTACAGCCTGTTTCATCCAAGAGGAATCATTGGGGGGCCGACAAATTTTTCCAATCCAAAGGGTCGGCACGAAGCTCTAGGAAGATGTTCTGTGATTGGTTGATTATGACAATGACAAAAGACTAAGCTATAGAATGAATTTTCTAAAGAACGAAGCAAGAACAATATTCCCAGGGACGCCGGAACTGGGGGGCAGGTGGGGGCGGCTGCCCCCCTTGCCTTTTGCTAGGGGGGGCAGGGGGGCAGAAGTGCCCTTTTAGTTGTAAAATAATACGTGATAAATCACATTTCCAACGATGCTTTTTGTAGGAAAATCACGAGATTCAGGTAATTTATAGTTTATATTTATAAAAATTTTGGGAAATTTTTTGAATTTAGAAAAATAGTTTGAAGAAATGGCGAAAATTTAAGATATCCGGAAAATTTTTTGGCTTTACGGAAAATTTTTGTATGTCCGGAAAAAATTTTTGACCCCTAAAATGGTACACTGACCGAAATTGATTTTAAAGGTGCCCTTGGTGTGCGTCCGCCCCCCTTTGCCCTATTATCGTTCCGGCGTCCCTGAATATTCCTTTTGTTTATGTAAGCCAATTACGTCTTTAGTCATTGTCATAGTCAACCAGTCACAGAACATCTTCCTAGAGCTTCGTGTTTACTGAATCCAAATCCAGTAAGAATATTTACATTAATTTTCTCAAAAGTCATTTTGACAGGATCATCCAGATTTTTGCTTGGCGAAGGTGTTACAATGGCATTTATAACTTTAGTTCCCATTGTTAAGCCTCCAGTATTGTTCCTCATTTCACGATACGCTTTGAAGATTATACCAACAAAATATGCTTTGTCTATAGGGATTGGAAAATAGATTTGCATTAACAATAGTGTGCTATATACAGGTTGTTCCAACAAGACTAATTCAGGCCGTTCGTAACAATTTGCTATACAAGCTTGTTGTCATCAACTTGTTAGCAACTTGTTACGTGCAGACGATATCAGATTTGTTAGAACAATTTGTTGCGAGTCTGTTGGCCTCATCAACCTTGTTAAAAGATGATAACAACTTTTCCGCACAAACACATCTTGCGTTTGACAAGCTGTGATATTTTTAAAGTGTATATGACATGAAACTTATTATTCTCTTGAATGAAAGAACTGTCTCTTTAGGCTGTATAGTATAACTTATTTTTTAGTTTCTTGTTTTTATGGTTTGTTCCCGAGAAATTTCAATTTGTTTGAAATGTAATTTATGACATCACATTGGTTGCAAGCTCTTCAAAATGGTTGAATATCACTGCTATCATCCAAGATGATAACTTCAAACTTCGCTCACTGGTAAACGTGAACTGATATCTACAGTTTTTAGAGTTAATAGATTTATATTAACCAGTATAAGTTCAGTTTGCAACCAATGTGATGTCATAAATTAGCGCACTTCAAGAAAATAAAAAATTTCATGTCATATTTAAGCGTGGAGCTGAAAAACAGTTCTGAAACTCTCACCTGATCCAGATTCAGAGACGAAAACAGAACTTGGAATATCTATCTTTTCGTGTCCAGTTGCTTCACTTTCATCAGAAGGAAATGAAAATGCTTGTGATGTCGTTGTGTTGATTACTGCAGCGCCAAAAACTATTAAAAAAAATACAAAAATCATTTTATTTGATTCTTGCAGAAGTATAGATTATTAGTTCAATAAAAGATGCCTCTTACTGGACAGTTTAAAACTGCCATCTACTGCATGTTAGCTTAGTAATTAGTTTAGTTCACTTGAAAAATAAGATGTGACCCTTACTGGACCTCTAGGAGAACAATCTAGCACTGATAGAGCTATCCAGTATAAATAAAGGTAGTTTTGTTTAGGTTTCCTTCTGTAGTAACACTGGATCAAGAAGAGATGATCCTTACTAGACCTCTAGGGAGAACAGTGTAGAACTGATAGAGCTATCCAGTATAAATAAAGTTAGTTTAGTTTACGTTTCCTCCTGTAGTAACACTGGATCAATAAGAGATGACCCTTACTAGACCTCTAGGAAGAACAGTTTAGAACTGATAGAACTATCCAGTATAAATAAAGGTAGTTTTGTTTAGGTTTTCTCCAGTAGTAACACTGGACCAATAAGAGATGACTCTAACTGGACCGGCTAGGAGAATAGTTTAGCACTGACAGGGCTATATTCAGTACAAATAAAGTTAGTTTAGTTTAGGTTTCCTCCTTTAGTAACAGTGGACAAATAAGAGATGATCCTTAATGAACCTCTATGGAGAACAGTTTAGAACTGATAGCGCTATCCAGTATAAATAAAGTTATAGTTTAGCTTAGGTTTTCTGACTTTTCTCCTGTAGTAACACTGGACCAATAAGAGATGACTCTAACTGGACCTCTACGCAGAACAGTTCAATACTGATAGATGTATAAACTTAAATTATACATAATATCTTGCTTATTTTCTCACCCAAGTCCTCAGTGACTTCCTCAAAAGAACTCTGATTTCCAAGATCAAGTTGTCGAGCAATGGAATTTCCAAGATCTTCTAACGCTTCGACTGCCCGCATTCCTGGATCCTACGAGTTGCAAAATAACTATCAAAATTTATATCTATACTAGAGGACACGAACAAGCAGAATATCGAATACTCATGAACACTGGGTTTTCAACTAAAGAAAGTTGTTTTTGGAATATTGAAGGTATAGGAATATTAAAGAACAAATATTCTGATACAAACACCCGAAAAAAACAATTCATTACTCACTTCGTTTTCACCTTCGGCTGTTAGGTTCGAGTTTATCAAATTTGCGGCAGCGTTTAAAATTCGCTAAAAAATAGAAAACGTAAACACGTATGCATCATATGAAGTATACCAACTAATTCTATTATTTCAGCTATTACATGTATATATCGAACTGTTAAAGGGATTATAAAAAAATAAAGAGTGATTGGTAACGTCTTTTTAGGGCTTTTGATTGAGCATATAATCCTGGTGCACTGCTAGATGTACATCTTAAGTGCTTATTGTCTGTCTTGCCATAAGTTACAATGCAAAATTCGCACGTTTTAGGCCTTAAGTAAGAGGTTTACCCATCACACCATGCGCGTTTAGAGTTGAGATTTTTGAAGGACAACCTTTTTTGAAACAGCTGCATATGTATATCTCTATATATTAGGCAATTATGTATTCAATTTTTATACCTCAATCTTCTTTTTATCGCCGATATTCACTGTTGATGTATTAAGGTTATTGATGTAATCCATGTCTGAAAAAAGAAATACCGTATAGTTATAACACGCAAGTGGCAAGCAATCCTTTACGGCTCAGCTTTATCGTTTTTCTCTAAATTGCTGTCTCTAAATTGTTATCCGTAAAGGTCACTCCTATACTATACAGAAGGAAATCTAAACTAAACTAACTTTATTTATACTGGATATCAGTTCTAAACTCTAGAAATGCAGTAAGAGTCACTCCTTACTGATCCAGTGTTACTACAGGAGGAAACATAAACTAAACTAATTTTGTTTATACTACACCATTCTGAAATGTTACTTTAGGAGGAAAAGTTCAGAGGCGTGCATTGATCTACCTTCTTTAAATTTCTCCAAAGCAGTCACTGTACTGCTAGGCAAAACGTCAGACGTTGTTGGCGAAGCTTGTATAAAAGTCGAGGTATTTGGGGCAGAGGTCTCTTTTATCGATGACGTCATCAGCACGGTTGGTTCTGTGGCCAGGCTTGGTGTGGCAAGAACTGAACTCTGGAGAGTAGATGGAACTGGACTCTGCTGAATGGACGAAACTGTAGACTGGAGTATTGGTGGATTACGTGTTGGGGTGATAACAATTGCAGTATAGACAGGGATTGAATCTTTAGAAGGTTCCGGATTTATCATGGCGGAGCTGAAATAGATACGATATTAAAAGTGTTACCATTGCTATGATATATTTAAATGCGAAAAGATCAAGGCTGCTTTCCAGTTAAGCTGAACAAACTTTCGTTGATAGGGACGCAACTACCTGAAAAATATAAGGACTGAGAATTTCGACGTTTCGAGCGAAGGCCCTTCGTCTGAAGTTCAGAGCGAACGCCCTTCGTCTGAAGTTACTCCAGATGAAGGCCTTTCGCTCGAAACGACGAAATTCTCCTTATATTTTTCAGGTAGTTGCACCCCTACCAACAAAAGGTTGTTCATATTATTGCCACAGACAGTTCAAGATTATTTCCTGTTAAGCGTTTTTCATACCTAGGTACGGAAAAGTTTAAATCTTTCTAAATTTTAAAGTACAAATTTCCTCGACAAATGCATTTTGAATCATACACAAACACAAAACTAAATCTATGCTTTCATTATAATTTAATTATTTCATAATAAACTTCCAACAGCAAAGCAGCCTTTAGTGTCAGGCCTTTGTTATTCATTTGTGAAAGTTAGCAGGAATAAAATCAACAATAAAAATGATTTGTTTGCTTAAATACATTCAGGTATACTTTGTTGTTACATGTCGATCTCAAATGACAAACTACCGAGTGTCCAAAAAACTGGGCACTGTTTGATTTCATGTAACGTAAAAGCTATAAAAGCTATCGCAATGGAATAAAGATCATTGCATTCAGAAGGGACTAACTTAGATTTTGATACGAGATACAACTGTTTGAATTTGAAATGTATTTTAGGAATTGGTGAAAACTCGATGATTGTTTTATGCTAACTTTTGGCATTTTTTGTAGTTCAACGTTCAAACATCAATAGCGCAGTCAAAGGGCCTCAAAGTGTTGCTTATAAATTCAAGCGCTACATATAAAAAGCTAAGTTAGTCCTTTCTGAATGCAATGATCTTTATTTCATTGCCATAGCTGTTATAGCTTTTACGTTACATGAAATTCAACGGTGTCCAGTTTTTTTGGGACACCCGGCACAGCTAGTACTAGTAGCTATGTGTAGTGTTCTTCGATATTCATTGTGTTTTTAATATCATGTTCAAAACAACTCTCGTCCTCGTGGATGATGACCCCAAAGCATCATGGGTCATACACCACACTATGGTATAATGATTTCTTAAGATTTTCCCGCGTATGCGAAAAAGTTGAAAATGTTCCCCAATCTTTTTTCTGAGGCAAATAATGTCTGTTTTTACAAGGTCTGTTTTTACCAACCTTATTTGTCCTGATCTCGTCGTAGAATTTCCAAGCTCTGATTGGCTAACCATTGGTGATGACGTAACCGAAGGCTGACCAATCTGTGCAGTACCATTAAGGATTATGGTACTTGTAATATAGGAAGTGAATAAACGAGTAACCACTGACGTTCTAGTTACAGTCTTAGCGATAACATAACTGGACGTAACAACTTTTCCTGGCAAAATTCCCAATTTTGTGGTAAGTACAGATTTATCTTTAAATGTGAATCTAAATGTGCAATTGTCACCCCGTTGACTGTGAATCTTTTTAGTTGATATAACCACGGTGAAATCCAAAGGCAATTTTTTAATGCAATTGTCATATTTCTCTGTGGCCACTTTAGTTATTCTTCCACAAGCACATAGTTTTTTATTGCTATACCGCACTTCGAAGACAATTGGTTCTGCGGTACATTCGATGGTAAAAGTCTCCAATGATTTTTTGCGCTTCGCGGTTATAGAGAATTCACTGAAGAAATTTTCCCTTGGACTGCAGCCGTCTGCTGAAAAGAAAGAAAAGATGTACGTTAGTTATTCTCAGTTTATCCAAACTATTCATTTGCTAGTTTGTTTCTGGGTCTGATTGTTAGGGACCAGTCTTAAATTTATGGCGGGGGGTGAAACCGAAGAGAAATGTTCTTCATAACTTCTGTGACATGAGTTTGATAACTGCTTGTGCAATTTTTTTGCGGTCTAAAGTTTCATGTTGTCTGCACATGTACTTTCTTTGGAGACACAATATGCCTCCTGACAAATCAGAAAATTGAAAATGATCAAGATAGTGACTCTGATTGATTTACATATTGTATTGACATAAATTATGACTGTTCACATTGCTCTTTATAGTCTTCACTATTTGAGTGAACCTAGCTTTTGAAATAACAATAACCCTTTTATTCACTCAAAATTTTGTTTACCCAACCCTTTTCTCTTCGGTGCGACCCCCGCCATAAAGAATGGCCGGTCCCTTAGTTATTTGGATGATACAGAGGCAGACTGCAATTTCGTATGCACAAACGACTAAATTGAGAATATTGTAAAAAGTCAAACACACTCAAACTCTTAAGGAGTTTCATCAACATACAATATCTGAAGTATATATAGTTGAACACATCTGCAGAGGTAATAATATACTCGCTTCACGAAGAAACTACTGTTCGTTAAAGCGACATAGGCATGGATTACGCTATCCCAGTTACTTGGTGCCGCACGAGCGGTATCATAAATATTTCGCCAAACACGTGTGCGATTCATTAATACTTCTCGAACCGTGTAATTTTTCCTATACTACTTGTATCGGTAAACTGGGGTTTTAGCTATATCGGTTCATGAATATAGTTCATATTATTGCAGATCACATGCATTAAATCTACCTTTTTCGCTGTCAGGAGACACTGAGCTGCTAGGCGAAACTACGGACGATGATGGCGAAGTTTGGATAAAGGCCGAACTCTGTTGAATAGTTGGGACTGGACTCTGACGAATGGACGAAACTGCAGACTGGAGTATCATGGATGGATTAGGTGTTGGGGTGACAATGTTTCCTGTACTTAAAGTGATTAAACTTTCGGAAGGTTGTGATGTGACAAACTTTCCCGGCAAAATTCTCAAAATACGCCAATCAAGATATCTGTTATTCATAAATACAGAATCGAAATAAAATGTGCAGTTTTCACCCCATCGATTGCGAACTTTCTCGACTGATATTTGCACGGTAAATTTCAAAGGTAATCTTGCCTGACAACGTTTAGATGTGATTTTTTCTTTATTTGCTAAATCTGTACCACAAGCACACAGCTGTTTATTTGTATATCGCACTTCGAATACAGTAGGTTTTGTGCATTCAATGGTGAACGATGTAAGTATTGAATTGTTCGTTGGGTTGGCTATGGTTTCGTTATTGAAGAATGTTTTCTTATCTTCACAGCTTGTACTGTTAGTACCTGTATATCGAGAGAAAGAAAATAGTTGTGGGTTTACGGTTTGTTTGTTTGCCTGTTGGTTGGCCAATTTATTTTTATTTGTTTGTCTGCATGCAGAAGTTATATACGGAGTCATGAAACGACAATACACCGACTCTACAAACACTTTGGTTAAAATTAACACTATTCGGTTATTTCACTTCACTTTCTCAGGGCCGTAGCTATTGGGGTGACCAGACGCCTAGAGAGAGGCAGGGGGGGGGAAATTGCCCCGGGCCTCCAGGTTCTGGGGGCCCTTAGAAATTTTTTGTTGGGCCCCAGTTATTTTTTTGAAAGAAATAATTCCGCGCAAAGGGCAAGATATTTGTTTTTTTGGGCAAAGTAACGAAATTTGGTATGAAAAATTGAGGTAAAGTCGCTGTAAAGTAATTACATCGTACTCGTCCGGAAAATTTTTTTCCCTAAAAAGTTGTCGTCGACGGGGGTGAGGGGGGAGGGGGTGAGGTTGTTATCCGAAAAATTGTTTTTCCGGAAAAATGTTTGAAATAGGGCCCCTAAAAAAATTTGCCCCGGGCCCTCGCCAAGCTCTCGGCGGCCCTGGGGGTGACTTCCCTCTCAAAATGTCTTGTCGGCAAAATAAAGGAGCATAGTCGGAACGGAGTTATCGGCCAATAATTCTCGTAGTCAACGAAAATATTTGAGTGGCTCGGATTAAAAAGTAACAGTTATAGCAAACATTTTGATAAATTTAATATTACCGAAATTACAGTACATAAATTGGAAAGTTAGTGAAAAATGGTATGTCCTGAAAATTTTTTTTTACCTCTTCCAAGTATAGGGATGTATCGGTGTACTGGAGTTTTCGCTATATCGGCCCATGCATCATATTATGGTTCATATGATCGCAGAACACATCACACATGCATTAAATCTACCTTTTTCCCTGTCAGAAGACACTGAGCTGCTAGACGAAACTTCAGACAGTGATGGCGAAGTCTGTATAAAGGCCGAACTCGGTTGAATAGATGGGACTGGACTCTGACGAATGGACGGAACTACAGACTGGAGTAGTATGATGGATGGGTTAGGTGTTGGGGTGACAGTGTTTCCTGTGTTTAAAGTGATTCGATCGGAAGGTTGTGATGTGAAAATTTTTCCTGGCAAAATTGTCATCAATTGTACATCAAAAAATTGACGTGCACCAACATTTAGTAAATGAAATGTGCAGTTTTCACCCCATCGATTGCGAACTTTCTCGACTGATATTTGCACGGTAAAGTCCAAAGGTAAGCGTGAGTGACAAGGTTTAACTATGCCATCTTTTTTACTTCCTACATATCTACCACAGGTGCATAGTTGTTTATTTGTATACCGCACTTCAAACACAGTCGATGTGGTACATAGCAGGATAAACCCAAGTAATGAGTTGTTCGTTGGGTTTGTTATGGTTTGGTTATTGAAAAATGTTTCCCTATCCTCACAGCTTGTACTGTTAGTACCTATATATCGAGAGAAAGAAAAATAGTCTGGTCAATGGACAACTTGCATGTTAGACAAAATTTTAATCTAAGCACAGAAAAGGGAATCAGACACAACAGCTAAAAAGAACATATCGAAATTAGTAAAAGTGCAAAATTTGGTTGCGAAATGTTGTAAAGCTTGGAAAATATAGCCTTGCAAAGTTTGCATATTTTCAGTATATTTGTATTACGAGCGAAATTGTTACCATTTTCGGCTCAAAAATGGTAACAATTTCCACACGTAATACAAATATACTGAAAATATGCAAACTTCGCAAGGCTATATTTTCCAAGCTTTACAACATTTCGCAGTCAAATTTTGCAAGTTTACTAATTTTAATAAGTTCTTAGCGGGAATTTACTTTTTTTTTGCCTAGATAGGCTAGATCAAAAATTTGTCTAACATGCAAGTTGTCAATTTTAACCACGATGTTCTCCTGATCAACTAGAACTCTAATCAATGGATATTTCAGCTATAGACGAAATTTTGATCTAGACAAGAAGGACGAAATCCATAACCATAGCAGGAACGAGCATCTTAAAATGAGTAAAATTGCAAAGTTTGGTTGCTTTTAATGTTGTAAAATGAGGAAAACATAGCAACCATTTTTGAGCCGAAAGTTATGGTTATTTTTATATACAAAATTTGCCGGAACTTCATAGGGCTATATTTTCTTCATTTTACAACATTTCGCAACCAAACTTTGCCGTTTTACTCATTCTAAGATGCTCTTTCTAGCTATGGTACATGTTGGATTTCGTTCCGCTTCTTACCTAGATCAAATTTTTGTCTATATAGTATAGCTGGAATCACCCATTCAGGCTTAAATAAATTCAGGCTTAAACAATCTGGTTATGTTCGACCAGGGCCAGAAGAACATCGTGGTTAAATTAACCAGACTATTTTTCTTTCTCTCGGGATGTTCGACCAGGGGCCGGTTGTATAAAAAAGTGATTAAAGTTAACTATAGTTAGTGGAAACGTCATCCAATAAGAAGCGCGTATTTGAGAGTTAATCACTATTTAACTACAAAATAGTGATCAAAAAAGTGATTAAGAGTTTTATACAACCCGCCCCAGGACGTCACGTCCTGGTCGAACATAACCAGATTGTTTAAGCCTGAATTTATTTAAGTCGTCCTTCTTAAAATAACCAGACTATGCTAGATGGATATATCGAAATTTAATTTCATCAAAATTTAACCAAAATCTAATCAATATATATGTCTTTAAGCAATGCCCATTAGACCCACGACTGAATTTTCGAGTGCCAATTGATGATTGTGGTTATAGTGGTATCACTGATATTCAAGATGGCTTATTTTTTGTCCTGACCCGTGCAAGAACTTTTAAAAAAAGCTAGGGTCAGGTGCGCGATAGCTAACAGCAAAATATTCGCGAAAACATTCAATATTTTCATTCCGGAGGCCGCTATCTTTATCAGTGATACCATTATAACCACAATGCAAAGCGCTACGAAAACGTAAAAAGGGGAATCATCAATTTGAAAAAAACATGCACGAGTGAGTTCTTCGAAGACTATCAAAATTCAAGAGTGTATGTAATATTTTCGTTTGTGGAAACACCACGTACATTTATTACTGCAGTAATAAATTTACACGGTGTTTCGGCAAACGAAAGTATTATATAAGTATTATATGTTTTATCGCCATGCAAATCTATGATGAACTTATGATCATATGATGAGTGTATGTTTTTTCAAATTGCACGAGAAAATATACTACTATATATACTTATTAAAAATATACTACTATATATACTTATTAAAAATATACATGAAAAAATTATGCAGTCACATGGAAATAATTTATGTTTTTGTATTATTTCTGCTGGAAATTGCTGTATCTTATTGGCTAACTTTGTTATTGTTTCATATTACAAGCCAATCAGAAAGCCTAAATAGTCAATGAAATTTGTATTGTATTTCATTTTTTGGCACTGTAAATATTCGAAAAAGTTCTTAGTCAATCAGAATTGAGAAATTTTTTCATGTACATTACTATCTACCCTGCGAGCAAAGTCCTCTCGTATTTCTTCTCGGCACGGCACGGAGAAGCGAGAGAGACTCTGCAGAACTTGTGTATAGATTCATTTGAGCATGCGCGAAGGTTGCTAAGCAACTGCCTATTTCCCAGAAGAAGATTTAATAAGTAGTTTCCGGTTTGGTTATAAAACCAGTATCAAACCTGAAATTACGTATAATTATTCAAGTTTTTGGATTGTCGGCTCCACAAAGAATATACACAAGTTCTGCAGAGTCTCTCTCGCTTCTCCGTGCCGTGCCGAGAAGAAATACGAGAGGACTTTGCTCGCAGAGTTTGATATTTTTTAATGAATCCGCTAGTGTTTACAATTATACGAGCGCAAAAACACCAGCCAATCAAAACGCCGATACGATAATTCATCACATATGAAAAATACGTTCCGCGCCATGAAGATCACGATTTTTATTTCATTCAACTGCACGGAAATCTCTTTACTTATATAAATAAAAGTATGGACATAAAAGTTTGAATCCATTTTTTCCCTAATATACGTATCGTTTAACACTACGTTTTTTTTCACACGGCTATCCACCATAAATAATTAACGATTACGGACAATTAAAATCCATTTTCGACATTATCGTTCATAAATATTCAATTTGACTACCTGTTTGGCGGCAACATCGAAAGTAAATGCCAAGTGCAAATATATGCGACAGCTGTGTTCTTTGTTAACATAAATAACTATATGAATTCGCTTTCGTTAAAAATCATATCAAAATGCCAAATGGCAGATATCTTAATAAAGATCGAAGGATGTATCAATTAAGTCAAAAATTATACCCCGCTGTTGGACGCCTGTATTACATGTGCCAGTTATCGAATTTCCAGATGCTATTTTGTTACATTATATAACATGTGCTAAAAGTACAATATGATGTTCCTAATGATTTCCTGTAACTCTATAACACATAACATCTTTTTGGCATAAACGCGTTTTAAAATTGTATTACGTATACATGAATAAACGAGTTTGAAATAAAAAAATGATTGTATAGAAATATTGTCTTGTAGTTACTTTCGTATGAATTAAATACATTTTCGAACGAGTAAAACAGAGTTTTAACCTTTGAAACAATTTGGATCAACTTTGGCGGGAAAAGTGCTTGTAACGGCTTGAAAAGTTGAAATGCTAGCGTATTATATACGACACATGAAACTATGCATTTTGCCGTTGGCAACGGCGCTAATTGGACCGATGTCTAAAACCCCTGCTAGCTTTCATTATTAAATAATTTCTTTTGTGCAATAGGCTTTATGCCGTTGTATTGAAAGTCATCGTCCCGACGTCGCCGTCTTAAGGCCCTGTCAAACCATTGCATATCGTACTGGCGCACGCCGCATGCCAGCGTACGAAAAATATCACTCATACGCTGGAAAACGCTGACATACGCTGGAAAACGCTGACATAGGCATAGAATTGTATACGTTTCAACACAGTTTCAAGCACGATCGCATACGGTGGCATGCATACGGCGAGACAGAAACATTTTGTTAAGCATGCTTGAACATTTTGTGTGTATTCGGACGTATCGTTTATACGCCAGAGGTACGCCAGATGTACGGTACTCATACGCTGGCATTTCAAGATATTTTTGTAATTTTGTGCGTATGAAAATTATTTCATTAATTTTGATACGCTTCTCATACGTTTCTCCAATACGCAATGCCAATAGTGTGACAGCTAGGGCCTTTACATGTGTATATAAACTCCCTACTTTAAAACACAAGGCGAAGCGAGCTAGAATAAACACGATCTATATCAAACAATATTGGCTCAGGCTATGCTTCTGGGAAGTTGGGGACAAATCATGCGTAATATGTTCCTCATGGGTCGTGTATAAATGTCGTATTTGTACGCATAGGCAGATCTCTCTGAATCCGTCAATATGGCTATAGCGTATAGTACGAATGCAATTTGGAGTTGGTAATTTGCGCAGATAATGACGCGCTTGCATGCAGTGGACCACGTATAAATATATATGGATTATCACACTTTGTATTTGAAATATAAAGTTTTGTCCAGACGTATCACTGTCTATATTAGTTGCGTCAAAGTTTATTCACTCTTATTGGAATTAAAAGCTCATGGCAACACTAAGAACTTATTGAAAGACGCAAAAGCATTCTACATGGCCTATACATGACATGCGAATATATTACGAGACGAAATTCCTCGCAAAATTCCTAAGGCTTATCACTATCCGAATAACGAGATATGAACTTAAATTTAAGGTTTTTAAACTTAAAGCAATGTTGATTGATCTGTATGTATATATACTTTAGAATATATTTTACATCTTTAAAACAGGCTTGCACTGTTTATATTTGATCCTAATAATACCAAAAACGTGTGGTCCTGTTTTAATAAAGTTGTCAGAAACAATAAAATCTAAATACATCGCTCACATCAGTGTTTATTTACTGTAAACACCGAGAACCGAAGGCTACCGCTTGTATGTTAAAGTATTAATTTGTTTAATTTATTTTAGCATTTGTTGCTCGATTCTACGATCAATGACAATGGTCAATGTATATATTTCAACATAGCAAGTTGGATTACACATTTGGTTGCCATCAAAAGTTTATGCTGCGGCTAAATGGCTAATTGTTATAACATCCGAACTATATATCAAATATCACTCAACTGTGAAGTATGTACTGTCTTAAATGAAGATTAACGAACTTTTGACTGCATTATAAAATCGCTTATGAAGCCAGCTTGATACAATATACTTTAAAATGTACATTCGACGTACCTTGCTGTGCCATTAACGGAGAAATCAGTTGTAAAACGATAAAACATACACCAATGATACAGCAACGTGGCCCAGACATCTTTTATACAGCAAAAGCACTTGTATTTACACAAGTCAATTGTAAAATAAACAGGCTACGAGTTTAAAGGATATAGGCTTCGATCCGCAAAACCAAATTCGTAGGTATATTAGATCCCCAAAATGTCACAATTAGGGCCCTTTAATCAAACAACATCTGTTTTAGTCCATCCGCTCTCAGTTAGCTGTTCTATTCGGATTTCCTTAAGTCATAATCAGGAACTTTTCTCCTTCGATGCGTGGTTGGATATGCAAATAACTTTATAAGGATTGCCAACACAAACCAATGGGAGGCCGTCTAATTAGAATTATTGCATGAGTACGGAAAATCGAGTCGATTTTACATACATTTTCACGTTTACAATTGCTGACACACACGCGAACTCCATCGACCATCACCAATCACACGAACAGCCAAGTCTGTTGACAAGTGGACTTGAAATTTGATACGAAAGAGAAATAACGAATTCCGTATACGCGAGAAGATTCCTTTGAAAGTATCTATATTGGCCCCGTGAACATCTTGTAGGCTGGCATGTCAAGCTTTTATCAACGCCCACCAAAGCAATTATTGATGGTATTTTTAATGTATTAATTGCAATGTTTGTGAATTTATTAGAAGACTCTAGATCGAAACAGGAATTTTAAAAGACAAGACAAAGAGAGAAGGGCAATATATTTATTCCAATATTTATTTCATTAGCGAGTAAAAAAAGACGATATTCAATACAGTTTGATGAAGTTTTCTGTATAAGTACACAAAAGTAATTTCTTTGATCGTGTGAGCCTCTTTCAAGGATTAAGCTTACATTATGGAGATTTGCTTCAATCAAAGAGTATCATTCAGGAGTTTCAGTCCCAGTTTTGTTTCGGAGACTGTCCCGGCAAACGTCGGTCCCGAATTTCTGCTGTGAGAGTTGTTTAATCCACAAACCACAAATGTCTGGTGTAGACAGGAGCATTATTTCATCCCAAACTCTTTAACGCATGCAATGCCGGACAGTACAGGAAATGGCATTTCTGAGCCTGCATATTTTTCCCGGGGTAGCATGCCACCAGACCCCCAGTTTTCGCCGATCCTATTCTGCTTATCTGCCGACTCTGTTACACTGAGTTCAATACATGTTTTGCGTATCGTGTTAGCACTTGGCTGAAAATCTTAACAATGGTTATGGTTCCCAACTTTACTTGAGCTGGCGTTGTTGTTGAAATTTATTTACAAACTCGTTACTCGTTAGACGATTTTCTTTCGTCGAATGACGTTACGATAGCTGAGATCTGACATGAGTGAACTACACACGAAAAAACGCGCACTGAAGTTATTACAGATCTGCAAACAAGTTGTAACAAGTTTGTTGCCAAGCCGATATCAGAATGTGTTCACACTGCTTAATTGTTCCCAATGGACCTTTCACCTTTTGACTAAAATTTAGATCTCAACAGGTCTAGACAAAAATTTTATCACAGCTTGAAAGAGCATCACAAAATTAGTAATATTCCAAAGTTTCATTGCGAAATGTTGTAAAATGCGGATAATATAGCCTTGCGAAGTTTGCCATTTTCAGTCATTTTGTATTACGCACGGGAAATACATACCTCCTTCGAAAAAAGGGTATGTGTTTCCCGTTTGTAATACAAAATGACTGAAAATTGCAAACTTCGCAAGGCCATATTATCCGCATTTTACAACATTTCGCAACGAAACTTCGGAATATTACTAATTTTGTGATGCTCTTTCAAGCTGTGATAAAATTTTTGTCTAGACTTTTTGAAATCTAAATTTTAGTCAAAAGGTGAAAGGTCCATTGTTGTGACAAGTCTGGAACACGTTGTTATCACCTTGTCACAAGTTTGACGACGATAACAGTCTTGCTACAAGTTGTTCCAATAAGACTGCAATCAGTTTCAAATATCTTGGGACAGATGCTACAAAAACCTTTAATTTCAACAAACGTCAAACCCCCCGCCCCTGTTCAATGTTGTGCGCCATTTTTCGTCAGATTTGATGCGGTTTGGTATTTAAATTGAGAAGGCAAGATTGACTAGGGAGGGGAGGGGAGCTGTATTGTGTGTAACAAATTGTAATGATCCCCTTACACTTTTAATTACATCTGTTCCAACAACTTTTGAAAGTGATTGTAGTACTGCTACACACGCAATAATCTCTGTTTAGCAAGTCTGCCAACAAGCCGTCTACAAGTTGTCTTCGCACTGCTTGTCACAAGTTGTCAACAAGTTTGGAACAAGCTGTTAACAATTTGTAACAATCTTGTTGATATTATCAGACTTGTTAATTACAAGGTTGTTCTAACAAGTCCGATACAGTCATGCTATTACAATATTGTTACAACCTTGTCAGGTCATCAACCTTGTTACATTCTTGGTATATCATGATACTGTATCAGACTTGTTAGAATAACTTTGTGACAAGTCTGATCAATGCCATCAAGCTTGTTACAAGTTGTTAACAGCTTGTTCCAAACTTGTTGCAACAACTGGGAACAAGCAGTGCGAACACAACTTGTCGACAGCTTGTGAACAGATTTGTAACAACTTGTTTGCAGACCTGTAACAACTTGTGCGTTTTTACGTGTGTAGTACAGGCTGTTCCGCGTATAACAAGTTGCTATATAAATACGAGCTTGTTGTCATCAACTTGTTGACAACTTGTTACGCGTGCAGACGATACCAGACTTGGTGGAAAAACTTGCTGCGAGTTTGTTAACATTTGTTTTACGAAATAAACATGTTAAGGTGGCTCTCTACAGTTTACTAGAAACTGGGGAGATCTCCGATTTAGACCCAATTTTTCAACAATTCCTATTTGTTACAAGGCAAAGAAAGTCCGACTAGAAAAATAATAACTACATATTATTAGCACTGATGAAGATCCGGGCTTACGGATCGAAAGCTTTGCAGTAATAAATTTACGTGGTGTTTCCACAAACAAAACTATTATATTTTATCGCCATGCAAACATACAAAGAACTTAATAACTACAGAGTTGGATTTTTCGAAAAAATGGAACGATTCAACATGGCCGATATTTCACGGGGTTTAAACTTATTTAACTTGAAAATAAGGTCAGTACCCCAATTTTTATTTCATAAAAAGAATTCGTTTAGTATCTTAATTGCGTAATATTTTAAAAGCTTTATTGAGTAATATATAAGGACGTACACGCCGTAGCTATACTAGACCAACATACTGTGGATATATAAGTGCAATACATGTGGTTATATATGTATGATGACGTAACAATGAGGCATATTAATCAGGTTAATTAATATTTGTCAGCAATCAGCATGCTATATATTGTAAATTGAATCATTGTTAAAAAAAAATTGTTTCGAATTATTACATTTATATCATGAGTTCTACACAAGATGAAAAACTTCAATTTCGGAAGGGGAAAATCTGAATGACCCAGCCAAGATTTTGATAACCTTACCGCTGATGCCAGAACGAGGTTGGTAGGTCGTATTAAAATTTGTGCTTAAATGACTCGTTGTACTCGAAAGAGCATTGCTCGCTATGTAAAGATCATGACCATATCCAAATATTGGTCCGTATCTGTGATCCGCATAAATTGCGTGCCAAGTATTCTCATCTTTCAGTGGAGCCGTAAACGGCGGGAGATTTTCTTTATTTCGTAGAGAAAAGATGAACGATCCTCCAGCCTTTTTCCAGCGGCGAAAACCTGTTGTAGAGTAAAAATTGTTCGGTTAATGTGTGTAGTTAAGAGGCATTTTTGCATCTACTGATTTTTTTATCAGTGGAATTAAGAATTGCCAGGATCAAAATACTGGAGGAATGTGATCAGTTGTAAAATCCCGTTAAAGCAGTTGTAGATATGGTTCCAAGAAGAATAGATTCAGTTTAGATTTACGTATATGCATTATCATAGCATGAATATTCTTCTCAGACTTATTCTGTATCGTATAAAAAAGCAACGCAATTTTGAGAATGCGGAAATGCTGTCCCATAGAACCAAGAATGATTTAAATACAACATTTCTGATCAAAATCACATTGGTACTTTCTTCCCCCAGCATCACAGAAGGGAAATAAGGTGACGCTGACCGGCTCCTCCTGTTTTTCAAGGTGACTTTTCCAATTTATTTAATTCCGAGTAGAAAATTAGCAATGGCTGGGAAAATTTATGTCTTCAATGTACTTTATAATCTTCGGAATTCTGCAAGATTTCACCCCCAAAATGCTTCAAATCGCATTTCAGGGACTCTAGATTTCAAAATTTTCCCGGGGGTGCATGCCCCAGGACCCTCCTAGATGGTCTCGCGCCTTCGGCGTTTGCCCCCCCCCCCAAGAAATGAAGGTCTGGCCACTGCTCTTACCTTCCCAAGATGCCGTAGCGTAGCCACCAAAGATATATTGACCAACTTTCACTAATGTTACTGTACGTTTCTTGTAATCGCAGTTTGAGTGAAAGATCTTGGCTGGCCATCCATCTCTAGTCGCTCGCCAACAGAGCTTCCAAGGACTCTTTCCTCCGATCCACATTTGTAGTACTCGCCTATAATCCGAGGCGTCCCCTGATAGTATATTTGATTCCAATGACAGAACTTAACAGTGAGAAATAAATAAAGAACTTATCGTTTAAATTTAATCGTTATTTCAGTGTAGTTTTCAAAGGACTGGATTCTCCTTAGAGGTCCATTAAGCGATCTCTTATTGATCCAGTGTTACCATACAGGAGGAAACCCAAACTAAACTAACTTTATTTTAATTATTTATCTGGCTAGCTCTATGAGTTTCAAACTGTTCTTCCTAGAGATCCAGTAAAAATCGTCTCTTATTGATACAGTGTTACTACTGGAGGAAACCTAAACTAAACTAACTTTATTTATACTGGATAGCTCTATCAGTTCTAAACTTTTCTTCGTACAGGTCCAGTAAGAATCATCTCTTATTGATTCAGTGTTACTACAGGAGAAACCTAAACTAATTAAACTAACATTATTTATACTGGATAGCTTTACCAGTTCTAAACGTTAACTGTTCTTCCTAGAGGTCCAGTACGGATCACCTCTTATCGATCCAGTGTTATTACTACTGGAGGAAACCTAAACTAAATTAAATTTATTTGTATTATAATTTATTTATACTGTTTAGTACAATTATATTTTACAATCTTTCGGACTAGCCCACATGAATATTTCTCGACTTAATTCATAAACATTTTTTCGAAGAATACTCTTGTTTTTAGCCATATAATATGTAAGTTATTGACTGGGCTTGTTCGGTTCGATTAAAAGCAAAAATTTCATTATGAGTATAAGTAATTATAAATATTTTACCTTCTGGCTCTGGATCTTGACACTTTAACCCACTGCACCCATCATAACAACACTTTTGATTTAGAGGACATTCGCCATCAAATGAACACATGAGTCCTATTGGGAGAGGACATTCTGGTAAAAGTGGTTGAAATGGACATTTACCGACTGTTTGGAAACGAAAAACTCAACATGAATAACTGTTTTTGTCATTTATATAAACTGAATTGCTCTATCAGTTCTTCCAAAAGGTCCAGTAATTAAGGATCATCTCTTATCGATCCAGTGTTAATACAGGAGCTACTATACTTTGTTTACATTGCATGATTAATAGAACAGACGATTACTCATCGCACGTACTGTACAATTATAATTTACAATCTTTCGACTAGCTCACATGTAAGTCCCCGATCCAATCATGTGAAAATAAAATTTTACCATAAGATGCATAAAATGTACCTTTAGGAGGCAGTGTGCTGCAAGAGAAGAAAAAGGTTACCATTAGTAGAATTGAAATCAAAGAATTACAGGATTTGTACAGAACAATTCTATCAGTTATTAACTGTTCTGTAGACCGGTTTTGAAGGGAAAATTGTCAATTTTTTTCCGTGAAAACGAACAAATAAAACTTGCAAAGAAAAAACCACCAACCTTCTTTGTCCTGAACTCGTGATAGATTTCCCAACCATGAGTGACGGTGTAGTCGAAATCGGACCGGAGCCGCTCCCAGTTGGATCTAAAACGGTATATAAATTCCATCTATACTAAGAGTTGGAAAACTGTTGCTATAGTAACAATAACGATCCAATAGGGTCAAAATATTGGCTTTCATCAACGAAATTTACTTGAAAAACGCCTGGTTTATACATCTTATTTACTATTTCATAAAACGTTTCCTTTCTATAAGGTATATAACAGACTGTCTGAACAAATTAATTCAGTAATTTAAAAATGATTATTAGTTTCGTTCAATTTTTCGTTTTTATAAGGATCTCCCCTATACAGATCGCGAAAAAACAACTCGACTGAATAATATCCTATATTCCAGACCTCTCGCTCAGTTTATATTTCATTATGAGCAATTAATTGAAATATTTTCACAAATATTTACCCCGTGGTTCTTGGCACTTTAAACCAACACACCCATCATCACAACACTTTTGATTTAGAGGACATTCGCCATCAAATGAACATAGTTTGATTGGGACCTGAGGACATTCTGGTATTGCTGGTGCAAATAGACATTTACCGACTGTTTGGAAAAGAAAAAGTCAACATGAATAACCGTTTTTGTCATTTATATGTATATATATTTGTCCCAAGGCCAATATCTAAAAACTGATAACTTGTTTCAAGTCACGAAGTTTTCACTTAGCTATAATAAAAGGTAGAACTAATTGTTTCGACATACTGTACTGTAAAATTTAGCTTTTATACATACGCTTATCAGCCGTCTGGGATACATGGAAGCAATGTCTTATTGATCCAGTGTTACTACTTCCAGTGTTTGGAAAAGAAAAACTCAACATGAATAACACTGAGTTATAAAGGTAACATGTTTCAACATACGGTACTTTAAAATTTAGCTACATACAATCTTTTGACTAGCTCACATGTAAATCTCCGATCCAATCATGTGAAAATAAAATTTTACCATAAGAGATTAAATGCATAAAATGTACCTTTAGGAGGCAGTGTGCTGCGATAGAAGAAAAAAGTTACCATTAGTATAATTAAAATCAAGGAATTACAGGATTTGTACAGGACAATTCTATTAATTCTATCAGTTCTTAACTGTTCTGTAGACCAGTTTTGAAGGAAAAATTGTCCATTTTTTCCCGTGCAAACCAGCAAATAAAACTTGTAAAGAAACAATTGCCCGTCTGTACAAGGCGCAATATACAACAGCGTATCGAAGGAATCACACCCAGCTACCAGGGCCCAGGGGCGTACCCAGCCTCAAGTGAGGGGGGAGAAGTCTAATCGTCCATCCAGGGGAATGGTCCCCCGAAAAACGTTTCTATATTTTTGGGTTAGGATCTGTGAAACGTTATTTCCTGAAATTGGTGCGGAGGAAACGTTTCGGGGAGGGATGCTGACCCTCATTCTCCCCCGCGTGACGACGCCTCTGCCAGTCACAGTCAGAGGAACTCCGTCATTCTTATCAAGAAAAAAACCACCAACCTTCTTTGCCCCGAACTCGTGATAGATTTCCCAACCATGAATGAAGATGCAGTCGAAATCGGACCGGAGCCGCTCCCAGTTGGATCTAAAACGGTATATAAACGTTCGTCCAAAATTCCATCTATACTAAGAGTTGGAAAACTGTTGCTAGAGTAACAATGACGATCCAATATGGTCAAAATATTGGCTTTGATCAACCAAATTTACTTGAAAAAACGTGTGGTTACACCTCATTTATTATTTCATAAAACGTTTCCTTTCTATAAGGCATAACAGACTGTCTGAACAAGTTAATTCAGTAATTTAAAAATAATTAGTTTGTTCGGTTCGAAGAGCAGGATGTTAGTCTCGTTCAATTTTTCGTTTGTATAAGGATCCCGCCTATACAGAGGAAAAAACAACTCCACTGAATAATATCCTGTATTCCGGACCTCTTCGTCAGTCTACAACACACACGCACATATATACAAGTTCTGAAATTTCATTATGAGCAAGTAATTGAAATATTTTCACAAATATTTACCCCGTGGTTCTTGGCACTTTAAACCAAAGCACCCATCATCACAACACTTTTGATTTAGAGGACATTCGCCATCAACTGAGCATAGTTTGATTGGGACCCGAGGACATTCTGGTATTGCTGGTGCAAATGGACATTTACCGACTGTTTGGAAAAGAAAAACTCAACATGAATAACTGTTTTTGTCATTTATATATACAGTATATGCATTCTGTCTACTGTTTTCACTTAGCTATAAAGGTATAACTTGTTTCTTGAAGCAAAGTTTTAGCTATATTAAAAGGTATAACTATAATTGTTTCAACATACTGTACTGTACTGTAAAATGTAATAGCTTTTACATACGCTTATCAGCCGTCTGCGACACTATGGGAGCAATCTGTTGAAAAATGATAACAAATGCGGCAAGAAGACACCAACTTGGCTTGGACATCTTCAAATGCTAAGATTATAAATCCTTTGAGAAAATAAACAGGTTAAGATTTCCGCGCTTCGATCGACAAAACCAAATTCTTCGTTCGATCCCAAAATGTCACAATTATATCCGGACCTTTAATCCTACAACATTCAATTTGTACGGCTTTTATACGGTTTCGAACGTGATCTACTTCAACGGTTCCTGTGGCGCGGCACGTGTACGCTTTGGCAAGGGCCCTGTATTCACTGCTAGAGATTTAGGCGGGGTTAATAAATGCCCATACAGACCAATTTTCAGTTTTCAAAAACAAATCAAACCGTCAACGGATAAAAATTTAGCCTGCGAAATTTTATAAGATATACAGACCAAACAGCTAACATTGCTTAAGTGGTTGCGAATATTTGAAAACATAGAAAAATATTAAAGTTAGATGTCATTGAAGATTGAAAATTCGCGTCGCGTTGCCGAATCGCGTCCGGTCTGTATGGGGGTTAAAGATCCAGACACACCGGACGCAATTCGACAACGCGACGCGATTTTTTAATTTTTACTGACCGATAACTTTGATCCTAGTTCAAATTTCCCAAATATTTAGAAGCGTAATAACATTTTGAGTTATTTGGTCTACATATCTTTTTAAATTTGCTCTCATTGGCTGTTTTATTAACTTTCAAAAACGAAAAAATCGCGTCGGGTTTTAATTCGAATCGCGTTCGGTGTGTCTGCGGACGTTATTAAAGGTCAAATTTCTCAAGTGCGTATTACGGCTATGGGGGTAATTAGCTTTGCTTTATACTATCTACATAAATATTACAATTAAAAGAAATTAACATAAATACTAGAAATTTTACAAAGTTAGCCGGACGTGCAGATTGGTTATAATATGGATGTCTTTTGAAGGAATTAAGAAACATAGGGTAACGTTACTTTGAATATGATCATCTAGACTATTCCAGCCCAAAGCTCCTTTGTAAGAAAAACTTCCCTTGCGGATGTTGATTCTGGGCTCATCTACTGACGAACGACTTATATGGTTGCTGCTATACGTAAGTCATTACGTGAATTATCGCAAGTTGTCGCAAAATGTTATGTATTCTGTGTGTGATGTCTATTTCTCCTGTGTTAAAATATTATATATAAATATAGAAAATATTATTTGTATCATTAAACGTGATAGGACATAAAATTGCATCGTAATAGGAACACCTCCCACATTAGAATATCACGCGGACATGATTTGGGATGGGATTATATGACCATAAAATAGGAACAAATTAAAATAGCGCCAGTAAACGTGTTCTATTTATATGTATTCCTATTCTGTTAGCATAAACATAGGCTAAAAAGTGTAGTGTAGATTATTGGATATTGTTGTGTTGAATGTGTTATGTGTATATATATGTCAGTTTGAATCGCAAATTGTGAGTGGAGAATCGTGTACGCAGAAAGAGTAAATGAATTGTTGATACGTAATCGTGTTGGCTGCATGATTGTAAGTTACATCATTGTAAAACGACGTGCACTGAACAAGTGTAAATATCTGTACTTAATAAATATATCCAAAAATACAGTCCCACGTGTGAAGTGTCTTGGGTCTTGAGCCAGCAACCGTGCAGCGTGCATGACTAAAGGACCAGCACACCGCACGCGATTGGACAACGCGACGCGATTTTTATAGTTTTTGAAAGTTAAATAAACAGCCAATGGCAATGAGAGCAAACTTTAAAAGATATATCTAGACCTACAACAACTCAAAATGTTATAACGCTTTTAAATATTTGGAAAATTTAAACTAGAATCAAAGTTATCGGTCAGTGAAAACCGAAAAATCGGGTCGCGTTGTCGAATCGTGTCCGGTGTGCATGGACCTTTAAATCGCACTAAGTTACGCGCACATGTGTTAAACATTTGGGATGGGTCAAATAATTTGGTGCTAAACCTGATTTGACCAGTGATCGCGAGGTTCGGAACAGTGGGACGAATGACTGAAGTTCTTGCTCCAAATATATATATATATATTTGGAGCAAGAACTTCAGACGAATGACTGAAGTTCTTGCTCCAAATATATATATATATATTTGGAGCAAGAACTTCAGTCATTCGTCCCACTGTTCAATGTCGTCAGATTTGATGTGGAGAAGGCAACATTGATTGGGGAAGGTGGGG